GCCCAAGCTGCACAGCAAGCCCTGGGACACTGCTTGTGAACCCAGGAGAGCGATTCCAAGGTCGCAGCCCTTCGAACAATGATGGCTGCCTGGTCCTGTGCCCATCCGTTGGGTGGTCCTGGTCTCTCTGTGGTGCTTCATTACACCATCCTCTCACCCATCAGCACCGTAACCCCAACTAAGCCCTCAGGTTTCTTCAGAGGGGACTGTCCTCCAGCCCCTCGGAGGGCATATCCCTGCTGCCTGCCTTCCCCAAACGTACCCATGATCCTGCGAATGGGGTCATCGGGGCTGGCCACGGCCTGGATCTGGCCCTTGAGCACGGTCTCCTTGTCCGTGGTGAAGGGGGAGGACCCACACAGGGAGAGGCAGCTGCTCACCTCCAGGCACACCTTCTCCCCGATGGTAGTGAGGACGTCCTTCAGATGGAAGGAGCTGGGGCAGAGGAGGGGAGAAAGGGCCTATAAGTAAAATACACCTCTAACCGGCTCCAACCGCCCACAACTGGGTGAGAAAGACAGCACCAATAACTGGATTTATGTGTTCAATGGACAATTTGTGACTCTTTTCCCTGCCACCTTACCTCGAAGGCTGTGCATACCTGACCAGGGGGACTTCTTTCTCTCCCTCTGCTAGAAAAGACAGTGGGAAGGGCAGGGGCTCTCAGAGTATACCAGGACCAACGACCCAAAGCACAACTTCCTGCTAGCCTCTCTGTGATAAAAATCAGCCTGGAATGACCTCAGAATATCTCGATATACCTCTGGAGGAATACACAAGAAAGCAACCATTTGGTAGCTGTGGGACAAGAGGGAGAGAGAAACTTTTCATTGGATGTCCTTTTGTACCTTTTGATTTTTGAAACATGCACACGTATTAACTACTTTTAAAAGAATAGAGTCTGGGCTCGGTGGCTCACACCTATAATCCCAGAACTTTGGAAAGCCAAGGCAGATGGATCAGGAGTTCGAGGTCAGGAGTTCAAGACCAGCCTGGCCAACATGGTGAAATCCCATGTCTACTAAAAATACAAAAAGATTAGCTGGGCATGGTGGCAGGTGCCTGTAATCCCAGCTACTCTGGAGACTGTGGTAGGAGAATCACTTGAACCCAGGAAGTGGAGGTTGCAGTGAGCCGAGATCATGTCATTGCACTCCAGCCTCGGCAACAAGAGTGAAACTCTATCTCAAAAAAAAAATTTTTTTTAATTAAAAAATTTAAAAAAAAATAAAAGAATAAAGAAAAGTCAAATCCTAAAGTTAAAAAAAAAAGAGTATCTGGATTCCCTGGGTCCCCCAGGTTCTCCCAGGGTGCCTGCGGGGAGCCCCCCTGCTGGCAGGCATGCTGTGAGAAGGTAACTGCCTCTGTTCTGGGTCTAGATCCTTTGTATGTAGAATTACTGGGGGGCGTGGGAGCAAGCCCCAGCACTCACCATTGGCACCAGTTCTGTGCCCACCCCTGGAGGGCCAGGGTGGATATGGGAGTGCAAGGCTGGGCTCCCAAGAAAGCCCTGACCTGGGTCCCTCCCTCAGCAGGAGCTTTGACAGAGTAGTTCTCCAGGCAGGGACCTAGGTGACAGCCCAGAGCTGCGTCTGTGCAAAGGCCTCAGGCTAGGCCCTCAGCTGAGCAAACAGTTTCCTGGCCTCTCAGCAAACTAGTTTGACTGTCAAAACTGTTGAACCCCTAGTCACAACATGTGGACATGCCCCACACTGCAATGAACACACCCATGCTTTGTGCAAATTCAGCAGTAAAATTTCTGCATTTTGTAAGGATGAGAATGTTTAGGGGGTACTTCCCTTGAAGAAGTCTCTGAACTGGACCTTGTCAGATAGAGCATTACTTAGAACCACTCAAAGATATTCTATAGGCTGGAAACCATAGAAGTCACCCAACATGACTCCATGGTAGGAGCGGTCATGAAGCCTGCACGCGTGCAGATGTGGACTCGTGCTGGGTAAGAAAATGATGCATTACACTGAGCACAGAACACCTGCGGGGAACACGCAAGTGCAGAACACTTCAACCACATACATGCAGCTCTGCAGGAATACAGCTGGTTTCCCTCATGACCGTCCCATAGAGCTCTGCTTTTCACTGTTAGTTGGTTATGAAAGCAATTCAGTGGGTAGCAACCAATATTTTTTTAATGGAATAAGAATAGAGTAGAAAAAATCAGGCTGCATTAAACACGGTTAGGGTCAGTTCCATTTTGAAGAGGTTCTCGTTTCTGTTACATGTGTGTTAAGTGTGTACTAGGTCACAACGGAAAATGAATTTCTTACTGCGGGTCCTAGTCACAAACATTTTTGTCCCAATTAATGTCTCTGGGTTTCAGTTTCCTCATAAGCTCCAGTAGGAGTTTAATACATTTGAATGGCTTTGGGAGAGGAATAAAGCACTCAACAAACATCAAACACAAGAACCTTGGAGGTCAGGAGACAAAGACAACCCCATTAAAGAAGGAAGGGGTCAGACAGCATTCTGTTCCCTGCGTAGGGAGAATAAATGAGTTGATGGCACTCAGCACCGGGCCAGGCCCCGGGAGGAGCACGCTAACAGGCAATGGAGGGCCACAGGACCCCTAAGCCCAGGACCTTCAACTCCTCAAGGCAAGCAACAACCATTGATATCAGCACTCCTCACCCTGCCCATGGCCTACCCCCCTGCCCGAGCCACTTCTCCTCTCACCCCCTAAATGCTCCCTCACATCTACTATGCGCCCCATGCCAAAATTTAAACTTAAGAGCACAAATCTAATTACGTTCCCCCTCTTGCTTCAAACCCTTCAATGGCTCCCTACAGCTCTTAGGACAATAACCCAACTCCTCAGTGTGGCCTCTAAGGCCCTATAGGCTACTCAGTTAGTCACACACATTTTAAAGCCACTATCCTAGAGCTTTGCTAACCCTGCAGCAGATTCTAACTTTGACCCTATGACCCTGAATAAACTCTGCTGGGGTCTTCGCCAAGTGAACCAACTGAGACAGCAAGGTTTCTTCTCAGTTCCTAGAGAGTGGCCCTGGGGTCTGCCTTACAGTGGGAGACCCCTCTGGGAGACTCTAGTCGGCTCTCTGCCATCCACTGCCTCCCATCCATGCATGAAAGTTCCACTTACGGTAGGTGCATATCTGTTAGCAAAATCTTCACAATCATCTTGAGTTTCTCAGCAAAGTCGGCCTGGCTGGAAATTCCTGGGGCTGCCATGCTGAAGGTGATCAGCAACACAGCCCCCAGGACGGTCAGTTGTTCCAGCTGCAACTGGAGCTCATGGAAGCGAGACTGGTCCATTAAAACTGTCTGTAATGAACAGAAGAGGCCATCGCTGAGCTGCAGGTCCAGGCTAGCAAGCAGAGGGCAGGAGCGCCACAGCCCCCACACCTGCCTCTGCAGCTTCCCTCAGGGTTTGCGCTGGTGTGTCAGAGCTTTGAGGAAGTCTGGTGTGAAATAACCCCTCCATCTCAGAGTCATTCCTCCTGAGCAAGGACGCAGTATAGCATCCTCACTAAGAACACACACAGGCCTGGGTGTAAAGCCAGGCTCCATGCTTAATAGCATGACCTCCCTGGCTGGCCACGGTGGCTCACACCTGTAATCCCAGCACTTTGGGAGGACTAGGTGGGCAGATCACCTGAGGTCAGGAGTTCAACACCAGCCTGACCAACATGGTGAAACCCCATCTATACTAAAAATACAAAACTAGCCGGGTGTGGTGGCGCATGTCTGTAATCCCAGCTACTCGAGAGGATGAAGCAGGAGAATCTCTTGAACCCAGGAAGCAGAGGTTGCAGAGAGCTGAGACTGCACCACTGTACTTCAGACTGGGCAACAAAAGTGAAACTCCATCTCAAAAAAAAAAAAAAAAAAGAAATCATGACCTCATGCAAGCATCGCCAACTTTGTCAGGCCTCTGCAGAATGGGGACTCCCAAATCACAGGGCTGTTTTAAAGCTGAAGAAAGATGCTACATATAAAGTGGCTGGCAGAGCCAGCGCTCGATAAATAAAAGTGATACCTATTGTTGGGAAGAGAAGTATAATGAGGTACAGACCTATGGTCACCAACTCCTCCCAGTTTGTCTGGGACTGTCCCAGTTTTCAAATGGAAATTCCCAAGTCCTGTAAACCCCCACTCGGTCCCTAGCAAACTAGGACAGCTAGTCATCCTGTACAGAGCAATAGAAGGCCAGGTGCAGTGGTGGGTGCCTGCAGTCCCAACTACTGGGAGGCTCAGGCAGGAGGATCGCTGAGGCCAGAAGTTCGATGCTGCAGTGCACTATGATTATGCCTGTGAATAGCCACTACACTGCAGCTTGGACAACAGAGTGAGACTCCATCTTAAAACAACAACAAAAATCCCAGAGCAATGGAAGGGAGGAGTGTCTTGCGGGCAGAGCCTACACTTACTCACCTTGGTACCCACTCAGCACTCAGCACAAAGGAGGCTTGTAAAAAATGGCAAATAAATAGAGAGGAAGAGAAAAAAATAGGAAGCACAGAGAGTAGAAGTGACAGAGAACAACCTAAAGCCTCCCGGAAAGCAAGCGCGTTCCCACGACTGCCTCCCCCATGTTAAAGGGAGCCCTGGATCCTACCATGCCAGCGATTCTGCCCGGGTAGGTGAGGGAAGGAGAAGGGAAAGGCTGGGCAGATGGGTGTCTGATCTGAGAGAGTTTACAGGCTCATCGAATGGACTCTAAGGACCTTTCTCGCTGTCAGAAACTGAGATGTGCCAAATCAAGACATGAACAATGTGGGGTCACAGCCAAGAAGTAAAAACTCTGAGGATTGAGAATCTTCTGCTGCTACAAATACAATCCCAAGGACTCATCGTCAGCCTGTTTTCTGAGTTCACATGGCTTTGTGGCTTCCCAACAGTCCGCAGGATGTGAGTTTAGGATGCAGATTGCCAAGGATCAATTCCTGGAGTAGACAGCTGTCCCCAGGGACCATCACCATCTTCCCCACAGCGTTTCTTTTCTTTCTTTCTTTCTTTTTATTTTTATTTTTTTAACAAGAGAGGGTTTATTCATAAGACTGCCAAGTGAGGAGTCTGGAGAACAGGTCTCACATCCTCCTTTCCATAGAGAGAGTTTAGGGATATTTATGGGATGAAGAAGCAGGGGTATCTAAGGCTTGGGGAAGATGATCAGCGGTAGGGAAAAGGGAGGTATTGGATGGTCTCCCACAGCTATTTTTAAACAGAAATGTCAGGCTAAGAACTTCCCTCCAGAAGAGAACATGCCACAGTTCAAAGGGAACATTTTCTCATCTCCAATTTGACATTCTCTTTAGAGCTTCCTCCAGCACAAAACAGGGAACTCAGAAGCAAGAGGTGAAATCTTAAGCTCACAACTTCTTGAAAGGAAAAATAAGGAACTTACAAGAAGGATATTTAGAGAAGTAGCTGAATCTGAGGCTAGTGATAAGAAACTCACATACCCCCCAAAAAGAGGAGGGAGTCTACATAACAGAACAGCTATTTAGAGAAACACTGGGGGAATCCCTTCTCAGTCATCTTCTTAAAGAAGTCCTGCAGTTAGAAGTATGTATTGTGAAAAACATAAAAGGAAAAAATATTGTTCAGCATGGAAGGGGAAGAAGTTTCTTTAGATAAAGCTGTGAACAACCACACCTCTGTTGTGGTTTCTATCAAGATGAGCAAAAACAGGAGAAAAGTGCAGCAGCACAGATTGGAGCCTCGTACATTGCTGGTGGGATTGTAAAATGATGCAGCCGCTTTGGAAATCAGTTTGGCAGTTCCTCAAAATGTTAAACTTAAGAGTCACCATGTAACCCAGCAATTCTAATCCTAGGTACGTAACCAAGAGAGGTAAAAACATATGTCCATGCAAAAACTTGTACTAGAATATTCACAGAAGCATAATTTATAACAACAACCCAAATGTTTGTCAACTGATGAATGAATAAACAAAATGTGGTATATCCATACAGAAAAATACATTATTCAGCCTAAAAAAGAAAGGAGGGCTGGGCGTGGTAGCTCATGCCTGTAATCCCAACACTGGGAGGCCAAGGAGGGAGGATCACTTGAGGCCAGGAGTTTAAGATCTGCCTGAGTAACATAGCGAGACCCCTGTCTCTACAAAAAACACATTTAAAAATTAGCTGGGTGTGGTGGTACACTCTTATAGTCCTAGCTACCCAGGAGGCTGAGGCAGGAGGATCACCTGAGCCCCGAAATTCAAAGTTACAGTGAGCTATTGTACCACCTAGCCTGAGCAACACAATGAGACCCTGTCTCTAAAATTTAAAAAAAACGTAAAACTCAGAAAGGGAACACTGACACATACTACAACATAAATGAACCTTGAAGACATTATGCTAAGTAAAATAAGCCAGACCCAAAAGGACAAAGATTGTATAATTCCATTCATATGAGGTATCTGGATTAGTCCAATTCATAGAGACTCAAAATAGAATGGTGGCTGCCAGGGGCCAGAGGGCAGGGGCAATGGAAATTACTGTTTGGTGTGTTTGGTGGGAAGACAGTTTCACAGAAGGAAAAATGAAAATGTTCTAGAGACGGCTGGTGGCAATGGTTGCACAACAATGTGAATGCACTTAATGCCACTGAACTGGAAAACTAGAAATGGTTAAAATGGTAAATTTTATGTTATGTGTATTTTACCACAACAAAGAAAAAAACACAGTGGAAAAGAGGACGAGAGTACTGTTATATATGCTACAACAAGAAAAAACATTGGGGAAAGAAGCCAGGCACAAAAGCTGATAGTGTATGATTTCATTTAAATAAAATGTCCAGGATAGGCAAATCCATAGAGACAGAAAGCAGATTTGTGGCTTCAGGGGTTGGAGGGAGGGGGAAAGGGCAGTGACTGCTAATGGGTGCAGTGTTCCTATTGGAGGTGATGAAAATGTTCTCAATTAAACAGTCGTAATGGATGCATAACTCTGTGACTATACTAAAAAACACTGAGTTGTACACTTTAAAAGGGAGAATTTTCTGGTACATGAATTATATCAGAATAAAGCTATTCTTTTTATCTTTTATTTTTTTATTTATTTTTTTATTTTTATTTTTTGAGACAGAGTCTCGCTCTGTCGCCCAGGCTGGAGTGCAGGGGCACAATCTCGGCTCACCACAACCTCCACCTCCCAGGTTTAAGCAATTCTCTGCCTCAGCCTCCCAAGTAGCTGGGGCTACAGGCCCTGCCACCACGCCCAGCTAATTTTTTTGTATTTTTAGTACAGAGAGGGTGTCACCATGTTGCCCAGGCAGGTCTCAAACTCCTGACCTCAAGCAATCTGCCTGCCTCTGCCTCCCAAAGTGCTGGGATTACAGGAGTGAGCCACCGTGCCTGGCCAAAGCTATTCTTTTTAAAAAGTTCAGCAGCACAAAAACAAATATGAGTAGTGAGATGGCTCAGGAGACCTACTTCAGGGAACGGCCTCTGGAGGTGGTCCCACTTCAGAAGCTTCAGATAAGCATAATTCTGGACAGCAACAGGGCTCAGCCTGGGCATGTCCCCAGAGCCAGCAGCTGCTCCCCCAGCTGGCAGGGCGTGTTTATACTTCTGAGTCATAAGGTCCTCTGAGGCTTCTTCCAGCCACTGGGTGACAAAGTCCAGGGAATCTGTGAAAAACAAAGCTGCAAACATTATCTTGACACCGAGAAGGGATGCTTCTCGGAATTACTTAAGGGACAATCGATGTCCTGGCGGAGTGATAAAGTAGAAAGTATGAACTTCAGAATCAAATAAAACTTGGATCAAATCATAGTAGTGCCAATGACTAACTGAGGGATCTTAGCCAAGTCATAATGTGTCTTGAGTTTCAGATGCCTGATGTAGGGAAATTCACAACACCCACCTCACAGGCTGTTGTGAGGATTAAACAAGATAATGAATAAGCCATGCATGGTGGCTCATGCCTGTAATCCCAGCACTTTGGGGGGCTGAGGTGGTTAGACTGCTTGAGCCCAGGAGTTCAAGACCAGCCTAGGCAATGTGGCAAGGCCCTGTCTCTACAAAAGATACAAAAGTTAGCCGGGAGTGGTGGCACGTGCCTGTAGCCCCAGCTAGTTGGGAGGCTGAGGCAGGAGAATCACTTGAACACCAGAGGTTGAAGTTGCAGTGAGTGGTGACATTACACCACTATACTCCAGCCTGGGTGACAGAGCTAGACCCTGTCTAAAGTAATAATAATAATAACAAATATATGACACCTAGCCAGGCCTTGCCCCTCACCCGGTATTTAACAAACCTTCCTTCCTTTCTCTCCCATCCTGACCACTGCATAAGATGGGCCCCAAAGCCCTGGCGACTCCAGCTCTAGAGACGGATGGGATGAGACACCGGCTAGAGTTTCCCTGTGTAAAGTATCCTCTACACTGACGATGAGGCTTTTCCTTGTTTAGATCTTAACCTTGTATCAGTCTGGCTTCCTTTCCACCTGGGGGAAGTGAACTCTGTCTCTGTCAGGGAAGCCCCTTCTGGCTTTCAGCAGCCCTCGTGCACCCCTGCTTTTCTAAGCTAAGTAATGCAGCGGGCACTCTGAGGGACAGAGAGCTGGCGGATCTTGCACACCATCTGATAAAAACTGCGCCTGTCAGGTCCCAGGAGGTGCGGCAGCTCTGTCAGTGGAGGCTTCCTGCTTCCTTAAAACCAAGTGGACGGCCAAGGTCACAGCGGTGGTCTGCTCTTCACTGGGGCAGGGGGATGTAGCTCCAGTTTGCCCTGAGCTCTTGGTCCTGACTGCTGGGCCATCTGGCTTCACCCTCTCTTCTGCAGAGAGCATTCTCTATAACCCACAAGCTTTGGGAAACCCGGGCTTTCATGAAAGTTGTGAGTTAAGTGCTAGACGCAGGCACTGTAGCTGCTTCCACCCTACCAGTGAGTCCTCCACTGCACCCCAGCTTCCAAGGCCAGGCCTTAATATTAAGGCTCTTCAGTCTACAAAACTCTGCCCAGCGGAGGTCGTGGTGAGCAGAGATCATGCCACTGCACTCCAGCCCGGCTGACAGAGCGAGGAGACGCCATCTCAAAAAATATATACATATATATCTTCCCAGTACTCTCACAACACTGGTGAGAGTGTGAGCTTGTGGTCAATCCATTCTGGTCAAAAATCTCTCAAAACCTGTTTCCAATATCTGTAAAATGGGGTTTAAAAAAAAGGTGCCTGGCTCATCAGCTTACTGTGTGAGGATTACATGCACATCCAGCCCTTGGCACAAGCCTGGCACTCAGTAAACATTACCAAACTTCTTCTACTTCTGCCCCTACCCTGCCCTTTCCCAACTTCCCCTGGCCCCAGCACCACCTCAGACTTCTCTGCCTGGGGCTGGATGAATCAACTGCGTGGGGCATTCACTTAACTAATCTGGTCCGGCAACCAAACCAACCCAGAGACTGCTGTTTTCATCTCATCGTCAGCAAAATTAGAGGCCAAACGGAATTCATCATACATTGAATCTGAAGACTGAAATTTACCCAGAATGTCAGCTAGCAATGCAGAGACCATAAAAAGCACCCTAGAAATACAATACAGTTTTACATTCTGATAGTCGTCTGTTTTCTGCAGTCATCGGAGAGGTTCATAAAAATGAGACTCTTCCTGGGTATGAAACAAGAAGATTTATGCATCCAGAACAAAAGCAAAGTTAAATTTCCTGCTATGCCACACAGGGAGAAGAAAAGTAAATTAACATTCACAGGACGTCTGTCATGTTTTCAAAAATCAAGACCAAGAATGTATTTTATTTCAAACCGGTGCTTTCGTTAAAAAAATTTATAATTTAGGACTTCATTGTTTTTAATTTCTATTCTCATAGCCTACTCACATTCCTTTTGCTTGTCACGTTTTCTTTTCAATGCTTAACAACTCTAGATGTAGTCCTAACATTTTGTGCTTTTCCTTCTTCGAATTAGACTATTCTCATACTAAATTTTAGTTTTGTTCTGAACATAATATTATGCAACAAGCTATGGCAGCTAAAATGAAAAACCACAGACAACAAAAAAAGTACCACAAAATATTAAACATACTTGGTTGCCTCTCCAAAATCTCTTGAAACTTCTTCCTTTCGTATTCAACTGACTGCTGCATGAGATGAGGCCTGATGCTACTGATAGCAAAGTTGGCCATGTCCACTTTCATTAGGTCCAACACAGAAAAAATTTCTCTGAAAGAAAAAAGGATTTAGAACCAAACACTTGTAAAGTAAACATAGTATTAAAGGAAAAGAGGACCAGACGCATGGCTCACGCCTGTAATCCCAACACTTTGGGAGTCCAAGGCGGGAGGACTGCTTGAGCCCAGGAGTTCCAGACCAGCCTGGGCAGCACAGCAAATGTGACAACACGATAAAAACTGATGGATCCACATGAAGGGTCTGTGAGTGTTGATTGTACTGTTTTTGTAACTTTTCTGTAGGTTTGGAATTTTTCAAAAGAAAATGTTTTCTTTTTCAAAAGAAAAACTTTTTTGTTTTTTTTTCTTAATCCATGAGTACCAAGACTTCAGGAAGTTTAAGTTGAAAATAGCTCTGGTCTGGACACAGTGGCTCACGCCTGTAATCCCAGCACTTTGGGAGGCCAAGGCAGCCAATCACCTGAGGTCAGGAGTTCGAGACCAGCCTGGCCAACATCGTGAAACACCATCTCTACCAAAAATTAGCCGGGCATGGTGGTGCGTGCCTGTAATCCCAGCTACTCAGGAGGCTGAGGCATGAGAACTGCTTGAACCCGGAAGGTGGAGGTTGCAGTGAGCCAAGGTCACGCCATTGTACTCCAGCCTAGGCAACAGAGTGAGACTCCATCTAAAAAAAAAAAAAAAAAAAAAAAGAAAATGCCTCTGAATTGTAGTTGCCGGAGTATGATTAACATATTTCCATACCTGAAAAGGGGCACTATTTCCTTAATGTCCTTTAGTTTCTTAACTTCCTCATCTCGAGCAGGTGCACACAGTGTCCCCATCATGCCAATAATGAATTCTGCCAGTTTGGAAATGTCTAGGGCCCCATTCTCTGCTTCCTGCTTTATCAGATCCAGATCCAAGACTTCTGTTATCTGGTTTCTCAGTCTAGTATGACCAGGCAGCAAGAAAGATAAGAGAGTCTACAAGAGAACACAGCTACGTTTAATCAAAATTCCTTAGACATCATTTCTAATTATATGCAATTTATAACTATCCAAATAAGGGCTTACCAATTGCTATGTAATATTGCACATCTTTTACCTCTTATTCAACAAACCTACAGAAAAACATGCTTACAAATCATTTACAATAGCTACTCAAGCTTTCATTTAAGCTCTACATAGCAATTAAATGGATAGAAAAAAAACTGTTAATGGTGAAAAAAGAAAAGCATGTTTATTAATGTGAGCCTGTGAGCCAATCACAGATGACAATTTCCATGCATACATTTCTTCTTTGATGCTATTGCTAAAGGCACTGCAAAAAGTCCCTCCACCTAAAGCTTTCTTGATCCCAAAGGCTGAGTCACTTTTTGGCCATTATAAATGGAATGTGTCCACATCTATTAAAACTTATAAATAATCTAGATTTTGTGAAATAACTTTGTTGTCTTTAATGCCTTCAGGTTATCATGGTTTGCTTAAAACTTTTTTTAAAAAAGGGCATTAAGCCAAAAACACTCTTGATCCACCTTTTGGCAAGTAATTTAACTTCTTGATCCTTCAATTTCTTTAAAGACTTCTGGTGGTGACACAAGAAGTTGAATACACACTCCTAACACACCAGAAAAGCATCACAATTCACTCTTTGCCTCACCTCTTTGATTTCTCCTACAAGTTTGATAGCATGGTCATACGCTGGGGGGTCTTCACTTAGCTGTGCACTCAAGCAATCCCAAAACGCTTTATGTACAATCTCCTTTACTCTCTTCTTCAAGCTGGGGCAGTGAAAAAAACAAACAAAAGGGCAAAAACCAAAATATTTGAGTTTCAAATCACTTTCAAAAGCACAAATAATATGGGTTTAGGGTAAGATCAATCCCAGTGATTTGGATCAAGGAAAGATTTCCCAGGCATACTTTAACTGATGGCATACTTTATTTTAAAAGTTAGTGATTTTTGGCAATAAGCATCTAATTGGAAAGAATCGCTCTCAACTAACTGGACAGCCAACATTAATCCAAGTAACAGCATATGACAGTGCCATATAAGAAGAAGATTGAAAAGTCCAAAGCTGTTAATTTTAGTTCCCTGTTACTAGCAAGTTTCTTAAGATGTTTATAATTAGGTAGTCTAAGATAACAATTTAGGCTGGGCGTTGTGACTTACGCCTGTAATCCTAGCACTTTGGGAGGCCGAGGCAGACAGATCACCTGAGGTGAGGAGTTCGAGATCAGCCTGGCCAGAGGTTGCAGTGAGCCGAGATAGTGCCACTACACTCCAGCCTGGACAACAGAGCGAGACTCTGTCTCAAAAAAATAAAATAATAATAATAAGATAACAATTCAGTATGTAGTAGGTTGAAGGACTTTATTTCCTAAAAATATCATATTCCCATGTGATATATGGGACAATTGCTTAACTAGGTACCAAACTATAACGACTTATATATACATCACAACGTTTCATTAAAACCAGTATTGGCCGGGCATGGTGGTCCACGCCTGTAATCCCAGCATTTTGGGAGGCCAAGGCGGGAGGATCACCTGAGGTCAGGAGTTCAAGACCAGCCTGGCCAACATGGTGAAATACTACCTCTACTAAAAATACAAAAATTAGCTGGGCATGGTGGTACATGCCTGTAATGCCAGCTACTCAGGAGGCTAAGGTAGGAGAATCGCTTGAACCTGCGAGGCGGAGGTTGCAGTGAGCCAAGATCATGCCACTGCACTCCAGCCTGGGCAACAGAGCGAGACTCCATCTCAAACAACAACAACAACAACAAAATGTCTTTCTGTCATGAGCACAAAACAAGCAATTCTTCATTATTAAATGCAAAAAAGTACTATCTCTGCAGATATAAGAAATATCTGTGAAGTCAAATTTAGAAGCTTCCTACGGAAGACACTTGCCAGCACAGCAGCCATTCCTCCTTCTTTTGTGAACAGAATCCCACTGTTTTTCAGGGCAACAATATACTCTGCCTATGACAATAAATCATGACTGATCTAACAAGCCCATCACAGTTCATTCCCTTTTACCCGACTTAAGCGTTCCAGGTTCACCTATAGCAAGGGTAGCATGTTACGAAATTCTGATTAACAAAGTGTCAGCAGATGTCTCTTTCACGACTCCAGGGGAAGATGTTCCTCTCTAACAAAAGGAGAGCCCTAATCCTCCCAACCTTTTCCCTCTTGCCCAGAAGGCTGATGTATGATGGGATGTTTGGAGCTGCAGCATTCATCCTGCAACCAGGAGGACAGGCCAAGAGACTCTCAGGCACCATCCAGAATCCTGACTTCAGTGAGTTGCTGACAGAAGGGCACTTGCACACATATTTCCTTGATTCTAAAACAAACTCCCCCACCCCCCAATATTTTAATCTCTCAGAAACTTGGATCTTTCTTAAAATCAATGGCATTTTAATAATTATAATGGGCAGTGTTTCCTCTTTCTTATGACAGCACATTTTTAAAAGGGGCACCTTACAATCAATAGAGTTTTTGATTCAATAAAAAAATAGTTAAGTGCCAGGCACTAGGGACACTGAGAATAACCCACAGTCTTCGCCTGTGCAACAAAACCAACGACTATAGTGCAGTGTGATAGTTTCAAAGAAGAGTGAATGAAACAAGGCAATGAAAACACAAGATGAGGAAGCTAGATCCTACTGAGTAGGGAGATTTTCACAAAAGAGTTTTAGACCTTTTATTTGATTTTTGAAGAATTGGTGTTCCTTGTTTAGGAATATTTTTTAGCAATAATGTACAAAAGGAAAAATATGTCCGAATATATTGGTATCAACTGAAGGAAACATTTCCAAAACTGGGAAATGGCAGTGCTCTACTAAGCAAGATAATTTAGCAACCACCTTACCTGTTTTCCGGTAATTCAACTGGTTTAATCTGAAAGTCTCCATTTACTACAATTTCATGGGCTAGAGCCATGTTGGTGACGCCTCTCGCTGTCTCTAGAAGTTCTTCTACTGTCACAAAGCGAGGAGGACTAGCTGTAACAGAAACTCACTGTAAGAGATTTGCTTCTCCAGATTCGAATTTCTATTAAAATAAGAAGACAGTGGTTCTGATACTGGACAATAATTTCAGTTATTGCCTCTATTAAAATGTTTGTTCTGAGGCCGGGCGTGGTGGCTCAAGCCTGTAATCCCAGCACTTTGGGAGGCCGAGACGGGTGGATCACGAGGTCAGGAGATCGAGACCATCCTAGCTAACACGGTGAAACC